AACATTTATTATTAATAGTACAAATAGACACAAAATGCAAGGTGCTCTACGAAACTGGAGAAAAAGCTGCCAACTTTAGCCCCCTCAATTTGGCATCCTCAATCTTTAAGCCACATATATATATATATATATATATATCACATCAGCAACCCACAATTCCCCTCTTCTGTATCTCTAATCCCTCCGGAACGGAACGCAATTTTCACTTCAGCCATGGCCTCTCCACCACTCTCCTTCACCGTCCTAGCGGTCCTGCTGCTCGGCGCTGCCTCCGCCGAAGACAAATGTACGTTTTCATTTTATGTTCAAACTTTAGATTTATAAGTTATAATACATAAACATGATAACATTTTTTCCTTAGCCTTAAAGTTTGAATTTAAGATGCGTAACATGCATTTTGGGCTTTTTAACTCTTTTACTAAATTGAATTCTTTTTTCATTTTTGGATTTTGTTGGGACAGTGGCTAAGAAAATTCTGTTTAGTTACTCGGGTTCAACGGGACCTAAGCATTGGGGGAGTTTGGATCCTACATACACAGCATGCGCCGGAAAAATGCAATCTCCGGTGAACATTATGAAGAACCAAGCCGTCAACAACAAGAACCTGAAAACCTTAACCAGAAACTACAAATCTGCCAATGCTTCGCTTGTTAACAATGGATTCAATGTTGGGGTAATTTATTTTCATTTTTATTTTTATTTTTTTGTGAATGACCGCTTAATTTCATAATAATAAATTTTTCTGACACGTCAATTAATTAAGGGTGTTTTATTTTTTTTATTATTATTCTTAATATTTTAATTAGTAATTAGGACTATTTTCCAGAATCCCAATGATTAATAACCATTAAAAAAAAAGGCTGCTTAAAATATATGTATGATTAAGGGATTTTAATTTTTTTTTTTCATGTCAAAGTACATTAATATATAATTTGGGAACTTAAAACCTGCAGAAGGAAAAAATAGAACACACAACCTCTAGGTTGTGAGGACATCAAGTGCGTCTACTAAACGGGGGTGGTTTTGGTGATTGCAGATACATTTCGAGTCAGGACCAGGGCAGGTGTCCATAGATGGGAAAGCCTTCTCCTTTGTGCAGATGCACTGGCATTCTCCTTCAGAACACCAAATCAATGGAGTCCAGTAGGCAACCATACCCCTCTCTCTCTCTCTCTCTCTCACACACACACACACACAATTTTCTTGCAAATTACTCCCTAGGAATGGAAGTTATATTTTTATTTTATTTTTAAATTTAAAGAAAATTTTATCTTTTCATATATATTATTCTTTAAAAAAGAGATAAAAAGAGAATTTTTATTTTTATAATAAAGTTAAAATAAAATAAAATAAAAAAAGAATATTTCTCTCCTTAAAATATAAAAAAAAAAACTGAAAAAAAATTTTAATCTAAAAGCAACTATTAATCTAGAACAAAGAAAGTAACATAATTCATGATAAAAAGAATTCTCTTTTGGGCCAAAGCCTATATATATATATATATATATTGGATGTTGGGTGTATAAATATCCCTTGGAAGCTCAGATGTAGTCCAAATCAATTATTGGTTGGGCACACACAAACAAAATTAGCTGATAAGGCCACGGGGTCCAAAACCATATACAGTAAATTCCACATCAAATTCTCATGCTTGTAATTTATGATCGATGTGAAAGCTAAGAAAACAAATATCCGTCAGTTATGAAAAATTACAAAACAATACAATATTGTATTGATAACTTAAGTGGTTTAGTAGTATTATCTCTCATATAATTATCAGATTATATTAATTTTAATAAGGTGATTCAACAATTAAGAACTTAAGATTTTAAATTTGAAATGTGAGTCGCATAAAGAGAGAAAAGATTTGGAAATATCAAATGTACAAAAAAAAAATTATCACATTATATTGTATATAATATAATATAATATAATATATAAATAAGCGAATGCATAAATTATCATGCATGAGAGTAAGACAAAACAAATCTTGTTACGGGATTTGATCAAGATCAAAAAATTGGGCCAAATCCCAATCTAAATAACAAAGTCAGTGACAAGCCCAGTCTTCTAATGGGCTTTTTTTCCCTGCAAACCTCTCCTAACTTATGGGCTCTAGTTATGGACTCCCTTCTTCTTCTTCTTCTTCTTCTTCTTTTCTCATTTTTTGTCAATTTACATTGCAATTTCTCCATACGGCAGGTATGCAGCTGAACTTCATTTGGTTCACCTTGCAAGTGATAAAAGCATTTCAGTTGTAGCAATCCTCTACCAATATGGCGATCCCGATCCATTTTTAACCAAGGTACATCGATCTCCCATTATAATTTGACATAAAATTAATTAATTACTATTTCTCGATTAGTCAATTAAGCTCCTGTAATTAGCTAAATATCAATTTATTCATAGTATGTTATCACATAACACAAAATATCATCCAATAATTTTATAATTTATAGTGTAAATAATAACTATCATGTATTTGTACAAATTTGAAAAAAAAAAGATCTCATCCTCTTCCAATATGTGAAGTTTATATAACTAATCGAGGTCTGCAATCTATGATATAAGATTATGAAAGCTTTAGAGGAACTGGCCAAGGAGAAATTTTCACCGGAGGAAGTATCTGTAATTAAACTAGGAAGTATGGATCTCAAGCAACTCAAGCGCAAAACCCACAGGTACTACAGATATATTGGTTCTCTCACTACTCCTCCATGCACTGAGAATGTCACCTGGAACATCCTCGGAAAGGTACGTATACATCTATTATAAATTTGGTATTTGGAAACTTAAGGCATACATGTAATGTGAGCCTGAAAATATATGGTCGATGGAATGTGCAGGTGAGAACGATTTCTAAGGAACAACTGGCTGCTCTGCAAGCTCCATTGAGCTCCGAGTTCAAGCACAATGCAAGGCCTGTGCAGCCATTGAACGGCAGGCAGATTCAACTGTACGACGAGCTCGGCTAAGTTTTCTTCGTCAATTATGACATCTAATTGTTATGTGAAAATGAAAGAATCGAGAATGGTAGAATAGAATGATGTGCTTTGTACGGAAGATGATATGAGGACATTGCCTATATTTGTGTGTGTTTGAAAGTTGTGTGCTGCAGTTGAATGTTGAATTAATTTCAACATTCATTGGCCGATATACATAGTTTCAATCTCGATCAGATTCCCAAAGACAAAACTCCTTTTTCAGTTTCCAGCTGGGTCAATCTTGGCAAGTGCTGTGTGTTTCGGCCATATATTTTTCGGTGAATGAAATTTGACATGACATGAAAGGTGAGGTTTGATAGGTGAGGCAGGAGACGTTTTCAAAAGAAAAATGGGGTCTCCAGTCACCTTAATCGTTAATATTCTAAGTTTCTAACTTAATGGCATCCACTTCAATAGTCAACAATGCCAACAAATTTCTAACAGAGACTCCCCTCCTACCCCTGTTTCTGTGATCCAACTCCACCCAAAACAAATACTAAAAGAATGTGGCCAAACCCCTCACCAAAAACAAATTCAAATACTTGAAAATGAAGGCACAACGCAATATATATAGAAGTTATACGCATAATATTAACACCTATAATATGCATGGAAAACATCAGTTTATTGTTGAATGGAAAAATCTTTCATTAAATGTAAAATAAAAAAAATATAAATTAAATATAAAAAAAAATTACTATAACCAATTAATTTTAAATTAAATGTAAATCTTGTATTGAAAGTTACATATATAATTTTTACATAATATCAAAACTTAAATTTTATCCTATGAAGCTCATTGTAAATCTACCTAATAGGAACAAAACTTGATGTAGAGCTTACACGTAAAGGAAATGATGTATTAAATTATGTAACAAAATCCGATATTCATATCAAGACTATACGTGGGAAAGTATTGAAAGAAAAAAATCTATGTGAATTAAATACAAAAAAAAGTTAATCCACTTATGGTTGATTAATTTTAAGTTGAATGAAAATTTTGTATTAATTTTCACATTAATATTTATATACATTCCCTTATTAAATAGCACAAATATATTGTATTGAAATATTGCAAGAAAAATATTATAACTAAATCATCATTGTTTCAAAAATCAAAAGCCAAATCTCAATGCCAATGCTCACTCACAGTCATTGGACCTAAAATCTTAATAAGAGATAACAATGAAAATTTACAAGTGTTCACTTCAAAATCACCCATATTTACTAAACCCAAATAATTATATTAAAAAAAAAAAAAAAAGGAACCATTATTTTACAGTCAGATATAGACTAAATTGTAAAACAATTTTTCTCAAAAGAGAAGCAGACATGATGGAGAAGTCGTGGTAGTTCCTTATTTACCTTGATGGCTTGATGAGCGAAGCTGAGGGTCGGAGCAACCGTTACTCGCGATGTCCACGTCAGCCCAATGGAAATTTCAACAAGAAAGCGGGGCCCACAGTCACGACGGCAGGCAAGCAAGCTAGCAAGGAAGGCAACCGTTCTGGGCTGTGGCCCACCAACTGGCCTACCCAACACGAAATCCCCTTATCGATACGGTGACGCTCGCTTCAGATTAACGGATCGGATCTCCTACCCGATGCGAACCGCTTCATTCCGCCCAGACCCACCGCCTCAATGCTCCTCCTCGGCGGCGATGAAGACACCGCTGATATGGCGTCGGAATCATCAGGCGGCAAACGTGTCCTGATATCTCTTGTTTTGGCGGAGATGCTGTTCCGTGGAGGCGATTTCACTGGCGGCGGTGCGTGCGTTTCGCGTGATTTTCCATGGCCGCCGAACATAGAAAGAAAACTCGAAAAGAAACCAGTTCTCCTTCGGTCCTTCGTTTTTCCCTTTTTAACGTTTTCCGGTTCGGCTGATTTTTGGCAGTTCTTTAATCGGCGACTCCGGTCCCTCTTTGATCTCACTCTCCCCATACAAGAAACCTTAGGTGACGACGGTTCGACTAGTGCAGAGTCAGATTTGGTAGCAGATCCAGATCGCTTAGGGAACAACTGAATGCTCCCAGCCTTACTGTTTCTCCTTTTCTTGACATCATCGAAACATGATTTCTGCGACTTCGGCAAGCTGAAGATGGACGCTTTCGATTTCTTCAAGAACCGCTGAGAACTCGAATTGGAGCTCGGATTGAGATTGGGGTTAAGATTCGTCGAATTCGAGACGGAATTACCTTTCTGCGACTCTTTCCGCTCAATAAACGCATTCCGATCGAACCAATCATACTCTTCATCTTTAGAAAGCCAGAACGATTCTGGCGGGAAATCTGGAGGGATCTCTTCCTGTTCAGGCTTCTCCGGTGGAAGCTGCTCCCCGTCGGCCCGGTCTTCAGCGGTGGCTAAAGTCTCACAGACAATTTTCCGATCGCAGGAGCCGCCGGCGCAGGCTGATACTAGAGTTTCCACTTTCCCCTGTTTCATCCTACGCACGAAACGAATGAACCTTAGAAGAACAGAAAGAAAGAGATCAGACGGCCGACTTCCGACTTCCGTGTGCCGGAGTTTTAGAGAGAGAAAGATGGAGGGGTGTTAGATGCGGGAGGTTTTCATACAAAGGGGAAACAGATAGAGGGGAGTATATGAGGTGGTTTTGGAGGGAGAGTTTCAACAATGTTGACCGGCGCTGTTTTGGT